TTGAACACAAAAACCGTCACTAATTGGTCACAAAAGCCGCCAATATTTGCTTTCTAGTTTAGTTTAATTTTTGTCCATTCTCTTGTATTTTTTTAAACCAATTTGTAAAGCTTGGAGGGAGTACCTAGACGGTACACTAGTCGGATTTTTACCTAGACGGTATACTTAGTCGGATTTTTACCTAGATGGTACAATAACACACGCCCATTTTCCCCTACCATAAAGAAACAAAGTCTTTATGGTGTTATGCACAAAGATGTAAGTTGTACCAATGTACTATAGGGTATAACCTAAGTTGTAGTCTCTTTAATAATACCAAGCTCAAATCTATAATTCTATATATATAGATATATAAGTTGTAAATTCAGCTTATATATGTTTCTCTTTGTTTCTTATCTAAAGTATATTAAATCCAATACCAATCATATTAATGGAGTAGAGTATTTGTATTAGGAATGGTAAGGTAATGATAGTGAACTAGTATAGTGGTTGGTGTTAGCCCTTGCAATGGATTCAGTGGCGGTGAAAGGTTGTTGATTAATTAATAGCATGCAAAGTAAAACCATGGTGGGTCGAAAGGGAGGTGTTGTGTTGGACCCACACATGAAGCAAATAGCAGTGTGCAAAAATTACAACCTAAATACCCTGTCTGCCCACCAACTTGGTCATTCCTTCATCCATGTCAATGCCAATGGGAATGAGATATATTATCAATTATCATTGCATGCTTGCTTTGCTTCAGCTATATAGCAATGGTATACCAATCAATGATAATTTAGGACCCTGCTGGGATGCTAGTTGGGTAATATATTTTGGTAGCGTAGAAACGCAACGAACATTAATAAAGGAAAAAAGAGAGAAGAAGGTGGCAAAAACTAGCATAGCCACACAGGGATGGCGCACCAACACGCTTGCCCCATGCTCGTATCATTTCACAGAGGCCCCCACTCTTCGTTGCCTCGCATTCATTTCCGATCCATCAAAAACACTAAGTGCTAAACTTATCAAAGGGATCAATCATCTCAAATTACACATACACATAATTCATGTGCTTTTCTTCACACTGCCACCTGCCACTTATGCTTACACCATAATCATTTCAAGCTAAACTCATTAATCCTAATAATTTACCTCTCTTTAAATAAATTCAACTTCTTTTGTAAGTTTAAATGCGTTTACTTTTTCACATTTTTTTAATTTAATTTTTTCGTTTGGATAAATTTATTTCAATTACCTATCCACTTAAAAGACATGATTGAGTGTTGTATTTAATCAATGCGATATATTATACTGTAGTTGTCATGCGTCACTTCAGCCTAAGTATAATCAATGAAAGGTAATGACTTGTTTCACTTGATCAAGAATGTCTATTCCTTTTCGATTGGATTAATTTATTCAGTTTCCTGTCCACCTAAAAAACATGATTCATTACCGATAACTCATTGAGTTAAGTAGAATTTGAACTTAAATCTCGTTAAGGAATGGAGTCGTTTTTAAAATTAATTTATTAGAGTTCAAATTCAAAATCCTTTACATTTTACTCTAATATTTTATCACTAAGTCGATTTTAACAATTAAGGTTAACAAGTTTAATCCCATATAAAAAATAAATCTTACTCGAACTTAAAATATTGAATAGAATTTTTAAAATTAATACAATTAAGTAGATTAATAAAATGACTTACCCTAAAGAATTTCATTATCTTGCAAAAGAAAAAACATTATCAGCCAATTAATTATAAATCATTATTAATATTTATAAATAATATTATATTTAAAATTAACTTAATTAGTAATTTTGAGTTCAAGACTTGAATATCCATAAATATAAAATTATTTAAATATAAAAATTATATTATATTTTAAATTTTATATAAAATATATTTTAAATTTCTGATGAATAATTTATACCATGGCACAAAATTATTTTTAATTATTTATAATTTATATTAAAATATTAAATTTAATTAAAAAATATAATAAATACAAATTGAAATAGATAAAAAAATTTATAAAAAAAAATCTTAAAACTCTCACACCAAAGAAAAATGTATATAAAAAGCTCTAATCAAATCTTTTAAAGTGACTACATAATTATCATTTAAATGTTTAATGACTGATTTAACCATAATTAAAATTTTGAAGAAAAAAAAAAGCAAATACTCATCAACTAATTTTAGAAAAGAATTAAAATATATATTTACACATTATAATATTTTTCCTTTTATAAGAACACTATCACCATTATTATCACACTATTATCATTTTTATTATTATTACCATTATCGTCATTTTTATTGTCATCGATATTATTATTATTAACATTAAAAACAAGTATATACATTTAGATACCTACAACACGTGGAGATGTAATAAAGTTATTATTAGAATAAAAATAAGTCTTAAAAATGTTTAAAAAGTATTATTAGCATTTTTCGTATATTATGAAAAATACAACACTTTAAATTTTGGTTAAAACTTATTAGAATTCATAATTTTCTATTATCGACTAAAATTGGTGATCCCATTTTCAAATTAAAAAATAAACTTGTTAAATGAATTGTGAAACCCTCCAATATTTACAATTTTGATAAATTTTAGTTAATAATAAAAAAATAAGAATTACACGCATTCATATCTTTTAATTCGACACAAATCATGTAGTTAAATATATTTCAACACTCTAATTAATTATTTTACATTATCTTATTTATAAAAAAAATATTTATCTTTTATTCCTTTTTTGATTATATTTTGAGCATTAATTTAATATTTCACAAAGAATATATAGAGTGTGATAAAGCAAAGTAAGACTACTATTTTTTCTATTTTATTTTCCTACATCATTTTAATTTTAAAAGTAAAAATGAAATACTTAAGAAAATATTGAAAAAGTAAAAGATAGACCAATTTTATTTTAAATAGTGTTAACTAATAAATAATTTATTTATAAATAAAAATTTTATTGTACTGCATTTTTTTTTAAAGAGAAAGAGCAAAGTAGGTTGCCTGCCATTCATGATAAACTAAATGTATAAAAGATAGAGCAGGATATGAAGTGGTGGATTAGTTTTGGGGTAAGATTAAGAAGAAAGTGATGAATGTGAGAGGTTGGGGGATAAAGGGAAGAAAGGTTAGCGATGTGGGCCCATAACAGCATGCTTGAGGTGTCACCCCGTTGTCATTTCTCACCAAGCCCTGCTTCTCTGCCTTTCTGTCTCTCTTTTCATTCACCAAAATTCTACACCAAAATTTCAGCCACACGTTTATTTTCCTTATGTGCAACATATATAATTTAACACTTCTTAGGGGAAAATATTATATTGTTTTAGGATTTTCGTTAAAAAATATGTTTTTTCAAATTATTTAAACTAAATAAACAAAATGCGATTTCTCATGACAAAAATAAAGAATAAAAATATATGTGAAACTTAGTTAGGGTTTGTTCGTTAATTGCTGAATATCAGCCGTGTATATATGATATATCGAAGTTCTGTCTATAATGAATTGACTCTAGCTAGAAAAAATAAATAAATGAATAAAAAGAATCACAGGTGAGAATGCACAAATGATTGGTCCAGCCTGTGCTGGCCTCATCTGATCTCATATCTAGCCAGATATGAAACAAAGAATGTCATAAATCAATAAAACAACTTTATTCCTTTCATACTATTATTTTTTTAATATTTCTTTAACTTAAAAAAACAAAAAGAGTGTTAAGTTCTCTTGCACATTAATGATTTTAATGCAGCATTGAGTATAACAACAATTATAGCACGTTGGATTCCATGTTTCAAATGTAATTTTCTATATTTTGAATGTGATATTTTCAGGAGTTAATAGTTTTATATGCTTATATAATCTTCGCATCTCAAACATATGTTTCTTTTTCAGTCAGGTTTCAAAGTAGCTATTGTTAATTTTCATTTTCATTTCAATAGTAAAATTTAACTTGAATTCTTAATTTATTTTTACATGTATTTTATTTTATCTTTGTACTCGTATTGATTTGGGAAATTGATTTTTAAATCATATATATCCTTTCCCAAAAATAGTTATATTAAAATCGAGTAAGACTATTACGATAAACCATATTAAAAATCCAAAACATTGATTAAATTAGAATAATTTAGAATTAATTAATTTTTATAAAAATGAACGAATTAATCTACATATTTAATAGTAAAAAAAAATCTCTTTTAATGTTTTAGTAACTTTATTGGTGAATTATACGGTAAGACAGAAAACAAATCTCTTATCCTTTATATGAACATCAATTAAATTTTATAATTATTATATAAATAATTTTAATATTGTAAATTTTATGTATTGAATTAAAATTAAAAATTATTATTATAAAATAATCAAATTAATATAAATATAAAAGATACAAAATTTAAAATACATATTATAACAGATTAAAAAACTAAAATAAAGTTAAAAAAATAAAAAATAAAGAACTAGAGGTATAATTTAGTACATGTTCTGGAGTTAAATTGTGGTATAAAATATCTAATGTTGGCCTCAATAAGGAATGGCATGGGGGAAATTTTCAGGTAATTAAAGACGTATAATTATTTTATATTTAAAATCGCAATCCGTAAATATATGGTTGGAATAGGAGTAGCTTGCCACGCTAAACTTACACAAATGAGAATAGCTGAACAGGTAAGACTACAGTACTTTTATAATCGATTTTTTTTTAATAATTTTTAAAAGAAATATTCAACAAATATGTGTTTTAATATTACAAAAATATTTATTTGAATGCATAAAAAGCGAAAAACCATTTTATAATAATGAGACGATGATGAGATGGAATGAGAAACCATCCCATGGATCAATTAGGAAAAGTGGGGGAGTATTTAAGAGAAAGAGAGTAAATATAAACATTTTCTTTACTTGTCATAACATACCGTATGGTATCATGGCATATAAATATAAATATAAATATAAATATAAATATAAATAATGGATAATAAATTGGTTATGGTGGCATGCATTAATAATTGAATATTATTATGAGAGAAGAGAGAAGGTAGGAATTAGGAATTAGGAATTAGCATGCATGAATGGTGGTATTGTGATTGAGTGGTTTTTGCCGCGAAAAGAGCCAAAAACGAGAAAAAAGAAGATCTGAAAGGAAGTGTTTTTAAGGCATATTTGATATTTGATATTTGATATCTAATGTATGTTCCCGAAGCTATGAAGTGAACAAGCATCGACATGGATCCATGCCCCTTCCTGCGTCTCATGGTGGAATCCCTGGCGCTCAAACTTCCCTCTCCGACAAAACCCCCACCTCTCTCCGGCGTCCACCCCTCGAGCACCCCATGCTTCTGCAAAATCCGCATCAACACCTTCCCCTCCCACACCGCCCTCCTCCCCGTCTGCTCGGCGGCCGCACCCGACGCCACCACCTCCGCCCCCGCCTTCCACCTGGACCCAGCAGCCCTCCGCCGCCTCGCCGGGAAGCCCCTCGCCCTCACCCTCTCCGTCTACAACGGCCCAATGGGCCGCAGCTGCGGTGTCCGCGGCGCCAAGCTGTTGGGGCGGGTCCAGCTGAGCCTTCAGTTCCCCACCGCCCTCTCTCGCTCCAACACCTTCCACAACGGGTGGCTCAACCTGGGCCCAGCCCACAACAATAAACCCTCGCCCCACCTTCACCTCGTCGTCCGCTCCCAACCGGATCCCCGCTTCGTCTTTCAGTTCGGAGGCGAACCAGAATGCAGCCCCGTCGTTTTCCAGATTCAGGGCAACATAAGACAACCCGTTTTCAGTTGCAAGTTCAGCAACTACAGATCCAGGTCACTCTCCGCATTTTACTTTTCCATCACTCCATCTGCTAACGTCACCCGCCTATGATTTTCTTCTTTTGCCTGCCCCTCCCAAGTTTTCCTTTTCATCTGTCGTTTTCCCTTGCCTGGAGCCGGATCGATCATAACTCCACTTCAGGAAACCGTCACTCACCTTTTCCTTCACATGAACACTCTATCACTTTCACAATTTCCATGCTTCTCTTTCACCTTTCTCTTTTAACCCTTTTCATTTTGCCTATTTTATCACTATTGACTTGAGGATTACCAAAAAAGACAGTCTTACTTGAGACGAATTACCCAAGACTAACTGCCTCCTTCATTTCAAACATAATTTCATCATTTTAGTCGTAATCATCGCCTTAAATATAGTTTTCATGCAATTCAATAACCCATTACTCAATTTTAATTTTTCACTTTTCCCTTATATATATATACCACTACTTGAACTTTTGGTTCTACACCTTCTCTTCTTACCCTGGTCATCGAGTGAAAAGTCCACATCCCACTACAACTCAATTATTCCGTTTAACCGTTAAGAAATTAATAAATACACTAACTGCGTACCCATGTTTGGTGAAGCAGACAAGTTAAGATCTTCCAAAATCCAAACTATAAAAAGTGAAAACATATTCTACCTAGGATTCCATCCCATGTGACACCACTAGGCAGCAACAGTCACAGTATCTGTTCCTTACAAGTTGATTAATCATCCATAACACTGTTTGACAACTTCATTATGTTTGTTAATCAATAATTATACTCCTACGCTCTTTTTCCCATCTATTCCGATCCTTTTTTTTTCTTCCATCACTTATGTCATGTCTCTTTCTATTTTTTCTTCCCATCTCTCTCTTCCATCTACCTGCATACACTCAAACTATAAGAAATTATTACGTGAATGATCTAAAACCCTTCATGTCGATAATCCAATCAAACTTAATAGTTTATCGCTAATCTTATTATAAACACTTCCATTTCCACAGATTAACTTGATTTATATTTTAACTTATAAACTTTGGATTACTTTATAAACTAGTTTTATCGAAGTAAACTTACGAATGACAATTATTCTCCAATCAATTCAGGTCCCTTCCATCAGATTTTACAAACATGAATCCAAGTAGGTGGAGAAGGTGTTCCACAGGTGAGAAAGAGCGTCAAGGGTGCAGGGACAGAAAGGGTTGGATGATAATGATCCACGACCTCTCGGGTTCACCGGTTGCCACAGCCTCCATGGTAACCCCGTTCGTCCCATCCCCAGGCTCAGATCGCGTGTCCCGTTCGAACCCCGGCGCGTGGCTCATTCTCCGGCCCAACGGCGGCTCCGTGAGTAGCTGGAAGCCATGGGGCCGCCTGGAGGCGTGGCGAGAACGAGGCCCAGTGGATGGGTTGGGCTACAAGGTTGAGCTTTTCTCGGAGAAGGGCCCAGCGAACGGAGTTCCCATTGCGGAAGGGACGTTGAGTGTGAAAAGGGGTGGGGACTTCTGCATCGATTACAACGTGATGAAGGACGCTGGATTCGGTTCGAGGCTTCCCGGTGAAGAAGGGTTCGTCATGTCTTCAAGTGTGGATGGTGAAGGGAAAGTGAGCAAGCCTGTTGTGCAGGTTGGTGCACAGCATGTCACGTGCATGGCTGATGCTGCTCTCTTCATTGCGCTCTCTGCTGCTGTTGATCTCAGCATGGATGCATGCAGGCTTTTCTCTCATAAACTTAGAAAGGAGCTTTGCCACCATGAACAAGATTATTCCAAGTGAAACAATTAATTTAGTCGATCGGTCATTTAATTCTTTTTGCCTTCTTCTGGGAGTGCTACCTTCAAGCTTTGACCCATTTGGGTTGTTAGGTTCTTAGGCCTTCCTCTTCCTCTACATACAATTTGTTTCCTGTGTTGCAAAAAGATATTGTACGTAGTTGTTTCTACCTTCGAGTTGAGTTTTTTCGCCAGGCTACGTTAGAGGTGTGTGTGATTTAACAGCTCAACAACATTGTCTGGTTATTGCGTGTATAGATCTCAACTGAAGATTTTAAATGTACAAAAAGATTAAATGCAAATGTTTGTTTATAAATATTTCATTGCAAATTTCTGTTTATAAATATAATTTCGTCTCTTCTATTATTTGAAATATTTAATGATTATGATTTTTATTTTGAATATCGTTTCTTATCTTCCGAAATTCTAGTTATCTGATTTTATAATTGAAATTTCATGATTCACTGCATATGGGGAAGGCAAGTAAAGCAAAATATATTGATAAAATATTTTAAGGAATCTATATTTCACATTTTTTTAAGAATTATTTAACTAAATCATACTAATACTTAAAATTTAAGTACTTTACATTTACTGCATACTTTTAATAGTAATTTTTTTATTTATTGAAATGACTGTTTCTACTATTTTACGTATTTTTTTAATGAAGAGTGCTATTTTTTTAAAAAAAAATTAATCTTTAGAAATTAAACTAAGTACAAAGGACAATTACAACAACTCACACCTTTCGTGATTAACTCAACTAGAACATTTTAATGTAGGGTTAGCTTAGTGGTTGGGTGAGGAGGGGTTGAGATAGTTAGAAACACGAGAACCTAAGTTCAATTTTTACTGTAATCATTTTTGTAATTTTTTCTATCTTTATAAAAAAAAAAAAAAACCATTTTAATAATCCTTTAGATAATGAGGAGGGCTAATTCTGCACAATAATAGGAAAATAAGAGTCAAAATTTAAATTTTTGAAGATCAATTCTGTAACATCCATTTGAGATTTAGTGGATCTGAAATAGACTTACATATTTTGGAGAGAAATTGAGATTATACTTCCAAACTCGGTCTAATATTATATATTATATAGATAATTTTTTTTAAAATAAATATGTATTATTAATATAATTTTTGACTTAAAAAATAATGTTTGGCTTAAATGTTTTTTTAATTTCTACAATTTGAACATTTTGTTCTTTTAGTGTTATAAAATTATTACGATCATTTTTTATTTTTGAAAAAAATAAATGTTTTTGTCATTAAAGAAGATTCCTTAAATGGATCATATCACTATGCATGTGTTAAAATGACAAGATTCAAAAGCTAAACAATTTGGTTATGAAGCACAAGTTATTATTATTTGTCTCAACAAATGTTGAAACCAATTAATAATTGTAAAATTAAAATGACAAAAATAGTTTTATGAGGACTAAAAAAAGTAATGATACCAAATTATAGGACTAAAATAACCTAATAATTTTATGAGAACTAAAAATTAAAATATCAAATTTGTTATAAAATATTTTATCTAATATAAAAACTACTTAAAATTACATAAATTTGAATTCCATTTAAGACTCCAATATAAAATAAAAAATATAAAAAATTTATAAAATTACCTTAACTATTATTTTATCATAATTTTAAAAGATGAAGTATACATGAACTAAAAGATTCAATGGAAACTATTTTTTCAGCTGAAAATAATTATGCTTGGTTGTGGAGATGATTTTAAGTCAGGCCACTATTGTTGGGCCTTAGCCCGTTTTATGAGGCGAATGGCCGTGCGATGTGTGATATACACAGTTGGGGCCCATCCTAATTTTATTAATGTTTTGAAATTAAGATGAATATTTTTAACATATTCTTTTGAAAACATTTTCAGTTATTAGTTAAATTTTATTAAAAAAATATATGTGAAAATTATAAATTTATTTTTATTTAATAAATTCTACCCATGAGTTTATAATTTTATAATAAATTTTAATTAAAAATAAAAGGAGTGTTCTTAAGATGAATGTATTATTAATACTATTCATAAATTAATTAAACTGGGAACGTTTATGCTCTCGGTTGGAATATTATTCAATTCAGTTTTAATTTAATAAAAGTTTAACTTTTATGATTTTGGTATGAAAATTATTTTTTTGGAGACAACAAATATTATTATGTTTGTGCTGGATAAGAATATTATAAATTAAAAACTCTCCTTTTGAGTTTAACATAATTTGATATTTATAACTCAAATTTGAAACAATTAATTAAGTGGTTTGAATATTATTTAGACTAATTATATATAACTCAATAAATTATAAGCTCAAACTCGAAGTTGCGTGTGAAAAAACTTTATAAATAAGTGGACATCACTATCTAATTTGAAGATCTCAGCGTGTTATTGGCTTTTCCAATCTACCGTTTTATGTATAAAAAAATGAAAAAAAATTTAAAAACGAATAAGTTTATTTGGCAATTACCTCTATTTTGGTTAAATAAACTCACATGCTAGTCAAATAAGTTAACAACTAGGTGAATGTCTTGCTAGTTGCCAAACACAATCTTGGTCGCATTTTGGAACCCTTGGATGTTGATGCTTTTTATCGTTCATAACCTCAAGCTTAATGTGATTACTTCAAACCATCATAGTTTAATTACTGGAACTAGAACTAATCAAAGCTTCCAAGACATATATGCATGCCTCTTGACCTTGAGAGAGCAGCTTCTAAAATTAATTAATTATAAGCGAAACTATTGAGTAATTAATTTTTGTGGGTTATTAAGTTGGTTTGGCAGATTAATTTCATTGCCAAAGGATGACTGAAACTAAAAAGTTAGCATAGAAAGAGTAGTTTATCACATAAATAAGAAAATAACTATCACAAATATGGAATTTTGGTTGACTACAAAATGGTTGCAACTCGCAAGTTATGCTGTCATTATTAAGGCAACTCATGACGGAAATGACATATTCTTTCGTTACCAAAATGTGTGAAACATACCGATCCAGTTTCTTCATTTAAAATATTAATAGCATAAAGTATACAGTGGAAACCACTACAACTTTGTTTCTGTGACAGAGTATATAATTGACAGATTGAATATGAATTTGACGAAACCCCTAAAAAAAATACTGAAGTGGTCAGAATCTGTCATGTATAGGACAACTTCATCATAATTAGAATAAAAGACATAATTTGCTTCAACTGAATTCATAACAAAAATAAATATTTGTTTATATAAATTTTCTTGCGTATGTATTATGTTCATCATGCTTGTATCTTTTTTCACAAATCTCTGTTTCATAGAAACAGACGTGCTATGATTATACACGATCTTTCCAAGTCTTAGTTCTCTAACCTGTACTCCTTGATAGGGAAACTACATTTTTCATTATGAAGATCATTGCTATGATGCTGTCTATTTATTTTCAGATTGCTAATTGTAATAGTCCTCGATAACATTGTATGGGAAAACTATGCCTGCTGCAGAAGGGATTTATGTGTTAGATAACCTGAATAAGATTTTTAGTGGCATTAATTTTGTTATTAGATCCATATCAGAGATAAGACTTAAACATAACCAGATTTTTCACGCAATGATACATGTTTTGAAGTCGAAAAATCTTAAAATATGATAGTCGACCTACTTGATTTTATAAAATCAATTTATACTTATATGTTGTATTTTAATTATATAACTTATTTACCTGCATTACTACCTCGAGTACATAACTTGCATAATTTGGTGCCAAGTATCAGCAGTCAGTAGCCACGAAGTAGGGCATTGTCAAATGAGGGAAACGAAGCAGAAAATAGTATCTAAAAAACCCGTGATAGCTGTACGCATTTCAGTAACCAAATGAAGCAAAGCATGCCACGTGACACACAAATTATCTTGATTGTTAACAGCATCACAGAAGTTTTGCAAATCTCGTTGCCCACAAAACCAAGGCACATCTTATGGTGCGGGCCAAGTATATATAATAAATATACTTACTAGTTACTACTAACATAGTAACATGTATACGGAATCCACGAAGAATAAAATTGGCAGTAGTTGCAGCATTAACTAAGGTAAAAAGGCACGACGAACCTGTAGCCATCAGGGAGAAGAGGAGCGCGCGTTTGTGTGCTTAGACAAATTTTCAGCGAGAGCAGCACAAACAAGAGGATTCGGAGTGGGAATTCTAAGACAATTGAGACTTCCACCAGGGATAATAGAACAGTCTGGTTGTGGTCTTTGCATATCCCTCCCAGGAATACAGTTATCCGAGAAATCAAATCCCACATTGAACAGCCTTGAACATTCCCCACTGAGCCCAGAGAAGAAATTGTAAGCAACGGTTAGATTCAACAAACTTCTCAAGGAGCAGACGACATTTGACAATTCCCCAGAGAGCTTGTTATGTGCCAAGTTAAGAACCTCAATTTGTTGCAAGCAACTCATTGTGTCAGGCAAATGGCCCATGAGTGAGTTGAAGCTGACATCAAAAACTTGCAATTCAGTGAAGATCCCTACTCCTTGGGGAATGCAACCTGTTAGTTGGTTATTAAGGAAGAGAATCTCCTTTAGCCTAGAACTCATGAAGGCAAAGCTAAAAGGGATGTTCCCAGAGAGGTTGTTATTGGCAAGGTTGATGACTGAGGCAGGTGAGTTTCCCAAACTCTGAGGGATTTCACCTTCAAAGTTGTTGTTGTTGAGAAATATTGCATCAAGCTTCTTGTTGAAGAGGTCCTGAGGGAGTGGCCCAGAGAAGTTGTTGAACCTGAGGTCCAAGTAGATGAGGGTTGGCATGTAAAGGGTGACGGAGGGGAAAGGGCCTGAGAGGAGGTTGTTGCTGAGGTCGAGCTCTTGGAGGGAGGTGAGGTCTCTGAAGGTGTCAGGGAGGGAGCCAGAGAGCCTGTTGGAGTTGAGGTGGAGAAGAGTGATGTGAGAGAGAAGAGAGAGTTCCTTGACAAGGGTCCCCTGGAGGTTTGCATGGTTGAGATCTATGGCTGCAACAAGTGAGGACTCAGTTGCTGCTGTTGTGGCAATGCCATCCTCAGAGTCTGCACAGAAGACACCCTTGTAGCCACACACATTGGGACCAACCCATGTGTCTAGGATCTTCAAAGGGTCATCAGTGATGGCAGATTTCCATGCCTGGAGTGCAGTGTAGGCATTGGTGAGGCTTGCCACAGGGGATCCAGAGGGGGCTGGGGGACTGCCAAGCCCAATGCCAACACCTACACTCATGGCCCCTTTTGCTGCATTGGAATGGACCAAGAGGAGGACGACCACAGTTGTGAGCTTCTCCATGTCCATCATTCGAATGCTTCTCAGCCTCTTGTCCAAATAAACTTCCCACATTCAACACTCATGACTAATGGGGTCTATTGTTACCCTCTTCATTCACCATTTTTTTCTTTTCGACTCGCTCTTAAATTCTTACTCATCATTTCTTCGTTTACTCATTTCATCATTTATACTTTTCTTATAATATTTTATCCACATCGTTACAATTATATACTATCAGATCATGTTAACTAAATCATATAATATTTAATATTTAAGTTCAATTGTAATTTTAGTTCCACTTTTGTTTTCTTTGAGATAAAATAAAACTGAAAATAAAATTTACCATAAATATTATTATCCCATATTCTTATTATAACACTCAAAATTTTAAATTGATTCGATCGTTTTGCATAAGATTCAATCATTATGGCTCTATCATTTTTTTTTTTTTACCAAATATTTTTATTAAATACATTTTTTTGAGTTCAATAAAACAGGTTTGGGCTGTAGCTTTGAATAAGCACAAAAGATGTTGACTTTGTGGCTCCCTTTGTACTCAAACAATTATCAATAAAATAAAATGATGAAACTTACACAAATTTATATAGATGTTATTTGTGTTTTTTTTTTTTAGAAGTATAGTATAGATTACTTTAGTACTTTACATAACAAATATCTATTAAATTTTGATTGGATTAAATAACAAATTCATTTAAACCTAATCTTATATGACAAATGAATGAGTGAGAGAAAAGAGAAAGAAAGAGATGAAAGAACAGCAAAAGAAGCAAAGGAGGAAAAAAAAATGTCATGTGAAATTTCAAAAATTTTAGTGAAATGATTAAATGAATGAATTATAAGTAAATTCAATTAAAAAAATTTCACAAAATTCATCTTCAAAATAATCCATTGAAATCTATATATTTTTTAATATTAACAAATATTTTGAAGTGAAAAAAAGTATTAATTGAATATCATCAGATTTTAATGTATTCCTAAAAAGATCTTTATTATTTTAATTAAATATTATTATATTTTGACATACCTTTAAATTTTTTAATTATTTTAATTCAATAACACGTGACTTTTTATATTAAAAAAATTCATTACATATCATAAAACTTTATATAATAATTTTAAAAAAAATTCAATCCAATGCACCTAATTAATATAAATGAACATAAATGTGGATTATTTTAAGAAAAAATAGGTTGTGTGTACATATAACTATCTTAGCTCAATACTTTAATGAGAAAGCTGGTACATTGCGCAGACATAACCATCAATATTTCATTAAAGTTGTGGCTACTCTTTCCATTATAAATTAAAGATGGAGATAAAAATTAAGAACGTTTGGTGAATATGTATGCAGGGATATTAATGCAAAAAATATAAGTGGCGGAGTTGTTTGTACAGTAGGCAGGGAGTACAACTTTTGGTTACTGTGATTACTCATTAAAGTGGGCAAAATTAAACCTACTTGACCTTATTAACTTTAAAATATGTTTGGATTTGTTTTTTAATAGTATTTTTTAGGAAAATAACTAAAAAAAGTCAAAATAAGTGTTTGGATAAACTTTTCTAGTAGCACTCTTAGGAGAAAAAAAAAATCTATCTTAAAAATAAAATTTTAAAAAATTAATGAGAGATAAATTTTATAAATTAACTTATGTATAAAAAAAATTAATTTATAAATAATTTTTTTAACTAGAAACACTTTTGAAAAACTTTATTTATATATATCATCTGAAATCAGCATAATATAAAGATTGGGAGGAGTGGGGAGTTACAATTCCTTAATGTCAAGGAATGTTTACAATATTTTTTCTTTCTTTTTCATAATATGTGTTGTATTAGAAGAAAAAATAAATAAATAAAATGTTATATTATATTTTTAGTATAATATTAATTATCTCTTTCTTATTTATACTTCTCATAATATTTTTTGAAAAATAATTATTATATTACTTACTTCTAGTAAAATAAATTATCATAAAATTAATTTTATAAAATTATTATTTTATTTCATCTATTTATTAATTTATCTTTATTTGTATAAAATAACTTAGAACAATACTTATTAAGAATGTAGGTCGGATACCTTTTCTCCAATTTTGCAGCATATTGTTTTACTATTATTAAATACTTTTTGTTTTAGAAAAAGTCATCTACCCAAAACCAATATGATGATATATATTGATTAATCTGTTTCTTCACACTTGAATAAACTTGAACGAGACGGCAAGATTAGATTATGTGAAGTGCAGCAGCAGCAGGGGCTTTTTGATTTGCAGTGGCACAACACAAATACTTGTCTAGGAGGCTATAGTATACCATAATTAATACATATAGGTTTGGTCAGGTTAGGTCACTCGAGAGGTCGAATCCTTCAGATTAAGGAGAAAAGGCATAAATATTTGTCCTTGTAGCAGCAGGGAATTCAAGTTGCCAGATGGTACCTATACCAGCCAACCGTCGTTAAAAGTTGTCTCTTAATTTCTAGCTCTCAACTTTCCCATCATAATATTGTTCTCATCTTTAAAAACAGCCACTAGCCGTGTAGCCCGACATTTCAGTATGCAATCAAAAGCTTAACCAAAGTCTTCAAAAAAAAAGAAAACACTCCAAATACTTCGACAAACGCGTGCCCTTTAAAACATCGTCAACCACTAAACCACATTGTACAAAATTAAATATATTATATAGTACACATGTATGCGAACCAATCTTACTCAAGACAGGACAGATAAAATATAGAGTTATATACTCAATTATAAACTAAAAGAATTTTATGTGAATTGAGATTTGAGACATGCGCATGGAATTTGGGAAAGGCTTAATGCTTCTCTTAGGTAGCAACTTGGGTTGATCCAAAGTGGAGTGTATAGCGTTCTATTTTGAAATAATGTGGTGTTTGAAGTAGTATATTTTGTTGAATTCTATATTGGGCTGCAAAAGGTACAGTTGAAGAAAAGTTAGTGGGATGTGAAGGGTTCAAATCCCTTGCCTAAATAATGGGAGAAGGGTCCATAAATGAATGATTAGAAAGAGTGATGTTGGTAATGGTGTGAAAAGGAAAGCGAAGAAGAGCGCACACCATTTTGACCACTAATGGAACAGCTAGTTTCCAAGTTCTATATGGCGGGTCACAACTCATAACAAAAAAGGAGCAAAAGAAAACCAATAAAAGGAAGATTCCTCTTCCCAATTCGTATCCACCCACTGCATAAAAGGAAGTTCCAGTAAGTAGTTGCGTTTTTAAACCGTAGCCACCAAGCTTATAGTAGAACATTTTACAACGATCTTGCTACCTACCAACCCACCCCGCAAAAATCGGCACCGAGGTAGGACTAGTCTAATGCATGTTCTTAAGTTAGGTATTCACCCCTTAAATCATTCTAAACCTTACTTTAAGGGAATTAAACAAGTGAGAAACCGAAAGTGACACAGTTCCAAAAAATAAGATTAAAACTTGGGCAAAGTCTCCATGGTTGTTTCATTGTTAGTTCCAAATAAAAGACCGTAGCATAATTAAGAATATCTATCTGGACCTCTGTTTATGGACATCCTCACGTTCTCTGTTTCTGCTTTTAGACTCTAATAGTTATAGTCTCACTCTAGCCAAAGACAAACTTCCATGTGCTAGCTATCATCCATAGGAATGGGACTGGCGTGGTCACCTTATGGAATTATTGTAACATGGGTGTGGTTACACAAAAGTGTAGCACTTTAGTTGGTTGTGGTGTTCCAATCCATATTAAAGTTTCATTTTGCTAATTTGCACATTAAAAATGATATTAAAGGTTATTAGGATTGTAATTTGAACTAGAGAACAGTATCATAAACAGTTAAAGTAAAACACAGATTCTTTCCTGGTTAGGGTTTAGGTCCCATGTTAGATCCAATCCAAGGATTTCTAGGGTTAGTTGCTTGCATAATAATTGTCTTGCTTGGCCTTTACGTCTACTTCTCTCTTTATCTTTCTCATCCGGAAATTGGAGTCCAGCATTTTGTATCATTGTAGGATTAGGACGTGCAGTACACAAATATCTGTAACCTTTTTATTGGACGATAGAAAAAGTTTCTGATTCCTATGGTTTAACAGTGCAGAGAATGAGAAGAAGAAGAATCTTTTATCCGGAAACTACTATTTTTAATGGGTTATCCACTTTTTTACACAGTTTTAAAACTCGACTAGGCCCAATTAATTTGAGAAAACCTGGGAATGACATCATTAAAAAATTAGCAATCAAGTCTAGATTTTGTCATTACTAGACTACATAAATTATCATTAGACTGTATCAAATTTTGTGATTATATCTGATAAATATAGTGTATATATATATATATATATGTATTATATTTTTTTATTGATAATATATGGTTCTTTTGATTAATTCTTTTATAGTAAAATATTTTTCTATGTTTTCCTTCATACAAACAATAATACAAAAGGTAATTTTGGATATGATGAAACTTTAACCTAATTGAATGTAAGTATTTATTATCTTTTTTTTTTTTAGAGGAAAGTATTTATTATCTTAATGATCATTATATCAATATCAATATATTTGTTGTTATGTAATTTTGACTTAAATAATTTATATAGTATATTTTTTAATATAAATTTATATATTTAATTATATTAATTTATATAATTTAATGAAATTATAATTTGATTGTTTTGTTAGAATTATATTGACTACAATTTTTAAGAATTTTTTCAAGAAATGAAATGAATGTTATTTAAATTTATAAGTATGGAATATATATGATATAAATATTATTTTTAAAAATGAATAAAAAATCTGATGATGAGATTTAACTAACAACTTATCGGTTCGATTTCTAATTTATTAACTTAATATTCGAACTGATTTGATGATTAATCTAGATTCTAAAACATTGCTTTTTTATTTAAGCTAAAAATCACTATAAAATTTGTAAATTCTTCACTTTCTTTGCTATTCACTTTAATTTAAATTATTTTCTAAGGTTTTACCATGCAACTCACGCTCTTCTCTCTCCAGTCCTGTATTTAAGTTTCTCACACTTTACTTCTTTCTTCTTCACTGCACATATTCACTACTTATCATTCAGGAACATTGGAATCGATGTTTTCTTTTGAAAATTTGTTGATAATTTTTTTAAATTTTCATTTTTTTTTTGTAATAGCAACTT